CCAGCCCCCTATGGCTGGAAGTCAGAGATGATATCTGATTCACATTTGACACCCCAGGCTTAGGAGGACGCCTGACACATAGTAGATGTGAACTCAGTAGATGCTCATTGATTTAATTTGAATTGAAATGGAGATGCTATTTCTATAATGGAGGAGAATACTAAAGAACAATCTTTTTTGTTTTCCCAGTAGTTCTTTATTTTCAACAGGCTACTTTCTACCTGTGGGTTGTGAGGGACATACCAGTTTTATAGAGTCAAAAGGTAAGATGTTCCAAAAGTCATCAAATGGTAGAGCCAGGAGAAAGAACTGGGGGGCCAGAGAGGGGAGAGACATGGGGAGTCCATGTCTATGAGAAAGTCAGGGAAAAAGAAGAACATGGTGGGAAAGAGGAAATTCTGCTGAGAAGTTTTCACACTAGGAGGGGTCCTTGCAAGGTTTGAAGGGAGCAAAGCGTCTGGAGGGTAAGCTGAGTTGTAAGAGGCATTCTGGAAGCAGCAGAGTGGAAAATGAACTCGATTTCACATGGAATCCACCCTGGGAAACGGAATGACAGATTGAACGTCATCAAGAAGAAATCATCATCTAATAGGCACTTACTGAGCTGCTCCTCTGTGCTTGGCCCTGTGCCACGATGCTGGGTTATGGACGAGAAGGACCCCAGCCCCAGCAGCCCAGGCCTCAGGGTTCACTCTCTTCAACTGGGGGTGCTTGTCACTGTGACCCCTAGAACTTTGTAAATCTGCAGGTGCTCAGGCCCTACTGCAGGCTCAGAGCAAAAAATCTTTAGGAAGGGAGCTGCGGAATATATCCCTTCTTTAAAATCCTCAGGGGACTCTTAGGAGTGTCTCTGATTAAGAACTACAGCTGCACTGTAATTGAGGGATTAAAATAAATGAATAACTAAAATGTGAAAAATGCCATAGGACGCTGAAGAGGGGCGGGCATCCTGGGGCTATCCAGGAAACTGCTTGAAAGAGGTAATATCTGAATTAAGACGAAAAGTTAGAGCTAATGATAATAGATTTCAGAGCTCTCTCACTGGAAGTTGGAGATAAAACTAAGGAGTAACTAAGGAGAGAGAGAAAGAGAAAACAGTGTCAGGGGAAGAGTCCAGGAGGTAATTTGAATATTCAGTGCCAGGGAGGAGGCAAAGAAGCCTGAGAGAGAGAAGGTGTTCTCTGGAAGTCAGCAGAAGGACCAGGGGAGTTCAGTGTCACAAGGCGAAATGGACAGAAAGACCGAATGTTCTGCAGAGTGGTCCTGGGAGAATGGGCGTCTGCAGTATGTGGGTGGAAATGGTCATTAGCGAGGACTTTGGAGGGAGCTGCTTCAGGAGCTGTGGGCGTGGAGGACAGGGTGTCAGTGTTAACGAATTGCAGAAGAACAGAGGAAAATGACTGTGAATTTGCCCGTGAAGTTTGGAGGTGAAAGGAAGAGGGAAGGAGGTCCGGTAGCTTAGGGAATCTTTTTTGTTAACCAGAGAGGGAGAAGGTGAATGTGCAACGGGAAGGACAGAGAGCAGGAAAAGGTCCTGGAGGGGCTGGGGCAGCCGACAGGAACGGGGAGGCGAGGACTCTGCATGGGGCGGGGAGGCCCAGGGGCGAGTCAGTGGGGCTGCACTAACAGGGGGCGAGTGGCACCCTGGCACCCGGCAAGTGCTCCAGGAAGGTTTGAGCTGGAAGGTGACGGGAACTGTAGGAGCTTCCATTGAGCACCTCCTTCCAGTTTGGAAACATGAGTGGTCCTCTCATTTGCTAAAAAGCAATGTCTCTGCAGTGACGGAAGCACCCACGTGAGGGCTGTTTATGGGACCGAGTCTCAGTCGTGACCGCGCATTAGAATCACCAGTGCGGTTCTATTTGATTGGTCTGGAGTGGGGTCCGGGCGTCAGGAAGTTCCCCAGGCGATCCTCATTTCCCGCCGTGACCACCGTTGTTGGACAGAAGCATACAACACATGCACACAATCACTGTGTGTGGATGTGACCTTTGCCTAGGGGTTTCCAAATTATTAGGCATGTACAACGTATAGGGTGTTCTGTTGACACTGGAAAGAGAAAAAGAGAAGAACTTTGAAGGGATCAGTGAAAAGTCAGAAGGTTGTCAGAGAAGCATAAGTTGAGAGATTTAAAGGAAGCGTTAGGTTGACGGCCCCACGCACTCACCCACGGACCCTTCCACTTGGTCGCCCAGTCGTCCTGAGTATCCACGACACGTTAACGACCACACTGCTGCTGAAGGTGGAGAAACCAGACAGCTTCCCCTCCAGGAGCCTGCGTGTTAGCTGGGTGGGGACAGAGAGGGGGGGAGAGGACAAAACCGATGAACGCAACTTCATGCTGTAAATGCAGCGACAGTGGCAGGCAGCAGGTGCTCTGAGCATCCAGGCAAGGGACAGCCCATCCACGCGGGAGGGGTGGGAGGGAAGTTTGGGAATTACGTCTAAAAGAGCGGAGGGTGGGGTGAACGGTGGTGACAGTCACCAAGCTAGATGATGGCACTGGGTCAAAACAGAGGACAGGCCTTTAGCATTGACTTGGCTATGGGAGATTCCTAGTAGCCTGTGGAATAGAATTAAATGTAAAAAGCTGAAGTAATAAGCTTACCCCGTGGAGGGAATGTTAGGGAGTGTAGTCTTAGGAGTGGAGTGGTTGTTACTTATCCGCTGTATCGTTAGGATCCGGGCACATGCAGACGGGCTCGTTGAGGTAAGTACAGTAGATTAAACAACGTGGGTAGCATGCAGGGAAACAACAAGGGAAAGCCCAGTGTTCTGGCCTCATTGCGGACTGGCTCTATCACCCTGGGCCTAAACAGGTAAGGGAGGGGTTGGCTATCAGAAACTGGAGACAGAGAGAATCCTGTGCAGAGGGCCACCTACTAGGAGCGGTGGCCTTGGTGAGAGGATTCAGTAGCCCTCAGGGACCCCACAAGGAGGGGCAGGGGGAGAAAGACCAGGCGTCTCTCTCCTCCTTCCCTCCAGGCTCCCGCTGTCATTCAGCACTCACAAGGGAGCCCCCTCTGTCACCCGTAGAGATCAGCACAAGCCCAGGGTAGAGATCAGGGTGGAGAGTGGATCCAAGGGGCAGATGGATGTGTCCAGCCCCTCCCTCCTCTCTGCTGTGATGGTGTCTGTTTCCTGACGCATCATTTACTCAGCAAATGTTCATTCCTGGCTCCTATACCTACTGCCTTCTAGGAGCCAGAAAATGTGGCAGGTGCCAGAGAGGCAATGGTAGACCAGACCAAAGTGCACCCTCAGGGAGCTTACATTCTAGTGTCAGAAGACGGTAAACGTGACACAGTGTGGGTAGTGATATGTGTAAAGAAAGAAAAAAAATAGGGAAAAGGGGTACAGAGTGTGAGAGTCTTATTTGGTTGGGAAGTCAGCTTGGAGAAGACACATCAAAAAGCTGAGCGAGTGAGCCCGGCCCAGGAATCGAGGAGTTCACATTTGATGTGATGATGCAATTGACTGGTAATTAGCTACTGGCAACCCAACCCTCTGTTGGTGAATCAGACAGATGCCCATGTCATTTATCTCTAGCCCCAAACACGTTGTACAGTGACTGTTCAGAGCGGTGGTTAGTAATAGTTAAGAGTTGAGTTAACAATTGCAGCAGGGATAAATAAATATGCCCTTGCTTACTATGAATCCACACAGAAACATGTTAATTATAGATCCAAATAGTTTAAAGTTGGTTCCACTCCGATGTTTCTCAAAATTCCGTGTTTCACACAGATCAGATTGTTAGTAGTAATAAGTTAGAAACTGTGCAGGTAATTGATCATTCTCCGGACAGGACACCTCTTTTCTCATTTGTTTTTAATTAGTGTAACGGATATTTCAGGAGGCTTCATAGAATTTGTTTTATGATTCTTATTAACTGAGTGTTAGTTAAATATGGTCAGATACCAACATTCTGTGGTAAGTCTAAATATATAATTTGAAAGACTCAAAGTAAGGCCAATTTGCTTGAAAACCGATTCTACTTTTAAGTTTTATGATTGCATGGTTCTTCGCCAGATATTATTCTGCAAACTGCCTAAACAACAACAGAGGCGCTTACGTAGATGACAGTCCTCAGTCGTTATTACTTTTGTCTGGAGCAACTTCAGATGAAGTTCTCGGGGAGTCCCTGCTCTAGACTCCCACGCGTGTCGCATTCCTGTTCATGAGAATGAGGGCTGTCCCTTCGACTGTCATTGGACAAAACTCAGATGCAAGTCTGTGCGTCATGAAACTTCCAGAATGTTTGCATTATTTTTTCTGATAAATCTATTCATGAATTTTCAGGACCTCTAAGAATATTGTCGAAAATCATTTTAGCTCTGAGTTAAAGACAGTACATTGGCTATGACTTGGCTACATCATCGTTTGATTTTCTCTGGCCCCGCCAGCCACTGCTGCCCCGTGTAGTTGCACATCTGATTTTTCTCTATTTTGCTGAACCCCACTCTTGTTTTAATTTGCCACAAATTGATTAATTCAACACATGATCACTTTGATTAAAACATGTCAAACATTTCCAATATGCTTGGCAGGATTTTTCTGCATGTGTAATTCCCTCTATTTGAATATTGATGTGGTTGCACAAAATACTGCTATTCATCACAGATCGATAGCTGGAAGGACTATTTGGAGTTCATTTTTCGTACTATTCGCAATAACTAAACAACCTTACAGATTTTCTTACAGCCTTACAGATTTATAGTTTGTCTTATCTAGGAATAAAAAGCTTTTCTACTTATTTTTTATTTTGAAGTTCACTGGCCCAGCACAGGTCGATCTTTGGGTTTATTTTTATAGATGCAGGTGATTCCCAGAGAAGTTGAGGAATGTTGGGTGTTCATTATGCCCTTGTTAAAATGCAAATCTGAATCTGTGCTGTGGAAAGGCCTGTGCAGTGACACCAGCTGGCAGAAGTGGCATCGGGCTGAGGGGGAATTATCGTGCCATTTCTCCGTATCACACCTTTGTCTCCTCCTCTTTTTCAGCCACCCAGTGTAAGCACGGTGCTGTGTATGACACCTGTGGCCCCGGATGCGTCAAGACCTGTGATAACTGGAATGAGATCGGCCCATGCAATAAGCCATGTGTTGCGGGTTGCCACTGTCCAGCCAACTTGGTCCTTCACAAGGGAAGGTGCATCAAGCCAGTCCTTTGTCCTCAGCGGTGACCTTTGTTCTGCTCCTTAAGACTTTGAAACCTGGTGTCCTTGACACTGAAGTGGAAGAGCCAATGAAAGACTGCAGTATTTGTGTGCCTGATTCTGCAAATGCACACACACAGAGAATATATGTGTGTATATATATATAGATATATTCAAAAACATTTCATCATTTATATAAACTATAGGTGGATTATTATATGTATATTTTTTGCTATAATACATATATTGTTTCTAGGATCCTAACCTGTAAGCCATTGGATATGTTGTATAAATACACCAAGTGTTTTTAATTTAATAAGGCAGCATGCAGATATATTGGATGGCTTTAACATCACATACGTTTGTCATTTTTAAGGAAGTTTTCTAAGAACCCTCAATTGCCTGCCTGCATTAATTTTAGCTTTGAATCAGGACTTGTAATTGAGTGGGAAATGTGTTTCTCTGGAGAAGGGCACATTTATCTAGGGGCATTTCATGTCTCCAAAGAAAGGAATGTATACCTGAGAGAGATGGCAGGAGATTGGTGACAGGCCCTAATCGTGCATGTAAAGCAGGAGATAGGCTATTAGACTTTATTGGGTCATGGTCTGATATTATTTCCAGAACTGATTGGCTAGTTGCCAAGAAATATATATTTGTCACTAGGGCATAACCAAAGAATCAAGTGATTTCTTGCCCTCTTCGCATATTCCTTGAGTCTCCTAATTATATATGTGTGCATGATGGATGTGACCATTTGTATGTCATGCATCAAGATTAAGGGGGGTTGTCTGGATGACATGTTAATTTTACTGAGCATGAGAAGATATTTGGAGAAACTGTTGCACGACGTACAAAGAAATATCCATTTCTCTAAATCTCAGAGCCATTTAGGGTGGACAAATCCAATGAGTTGATGTAAGCCACATTTTGTGACTATTCTACGTATAAAATGAAAGTCTTTCCTTATTTCTGGAAGATTCCTGTCTATGAGATGACTGTTAATATGTCATTAATTATTAGACAGGGAAAAAGCCTGTACTTTTTATATACTGACCAGGTTATTTAACATCAGTAAAAACAAAGAATGGCCTATATGCTTGCTCTAATTTACTGACGGGTTACCCCTAGTCACCAGGTGACCTTCTTGACTTTAGTTTTCCATTGAGTAAATGAAAATGTCAACAAAACAAGACCCACTGTGTCTAAAATAAAATGTTCTGCATTGTAGTAATAAAGGGCTTAAGATTCAAAACAATACATTTTTCTCTTCAAGATGTCCTATGTTACATTTTATAAATTATCTATATCAACTTCAGTATAGTCAAATTTTAACAGCTTTTTTAGATATAATTTAATACCCCACAATAACTTATTTTTGTAATGGTAATTACTAATAGACAAAAGCAAAACCCAAAATGTTTGACAGCATGCCGCCATTGCTTGTCGAAGACATATGTGTTCCTTTTACGTGCGCTCATGGCAGCTAAAGTACTAATTTGGATTTTTCACCGGCAGGTCCCTAGTCGTTTGAGTAAACTGAATGACATGCAGGTTGGGATAGTGGCCGCTGGGCATCAGAGCGTTTGGTTTTGTCATTGTTGTGCTTGGGTCCAGGTCTGCAGCCCGCGGTAGTCGGTCTTTGTTTCAGTGCTGCACTTGGCAAGAGGACTTTGGCTCGGGCTCCTTGGGTTCCAGGTGTGGTCTGTGACCTTGTCCACATTGCTTGAGCATTTGGGCCTCAGTTTGTCTGTAGCACAAAGTGGCTGTGCATCATAGTGGACAGGGCTGAGAACCAGGAGACCTAGACCCCCCACCACTAGCGAGCTAGGAGACCTTGGGCGGCAATCCGAGGCCTGGACCCCCCACCACTAGCGAGCTAGGAGACCTTGGGCAGCAATCCGAGTCCTCAGGGCTTGCAAACACTTTAACTCTTGTAATCTCATTTACTCCCTGGTCTTCTCTTCAGAGGAGCGGTCCAGCGACTCAAGGGCCTCTCTTGTTCGGTTTCTTCCTTCTATAAATGGAACAGATGCCTTTAGACTAGCTTTACATGCCTGTCCAGTTCCACTCGGGTTTTCCGTGATAAGAGAAGGCTGCATAGGGGGATGACGTAGAAGGGAACATAGTGGATGGTTATTGATGGCTCATGACTTATCCAAGGACCGAGTAACTTTAACCAGCCTCCTCCTGAGCACTTTTATCATGGCCAGCCAAGGCGATGAACGCTGAAGCCTCTTCTGCATGACCAGGTCCATCGTGTCAGGTGGCTGGATTGTAAGGTCGCGTGACGTACTTTATCCAGGAGTTGGCTTAATCTCTGTCCACTTCTTTCATTCCTAATCCACGAAGGAAGAGAAGGTAGAGAGTTGTAGAAGGTTATTTGGCTGCCGTCGGGTGGGGGCAGGGGAGGAAAACAGCTGCCCGGTGGGTGGCGTGTTCTGTCAGCAGTGACTCTGTCTCAGAACCGATCACAGTCTACGTTCACCGAGTGCCTCGGTGCTGGCAGCCCTGCCTAATTTACACAGGATATTTGCCTGGACTCTCAAAACCAAACTCCTGCAGTAAGATGACCTGGAATAAAAATGTTCTACGTTCGCTCTAGTGCACATAATCCACGTCAGCAATTAGCGTTGGTTCCGTGGTATGTACAGAATGAGTGGATGGGTCAATGTTCGCGCTGTGTGCTAGTGTAGAACCCCTACTCTGTTATAGTTATTTATGAATATTGAACTTGGTGGGAAACAGACACCCTTGATGAAGAGCAAACATGACGATGATTGTACAATGAGTTATTTCCCCTTCTCTTGTGAAGGTAAGGATGTTGGAGAGTCCTGACCTGAACGTTTTGAACTAGAGAGAAAATGGCTCTTTGACATTTTTGCTCTTTGAAAAATTGCTCTTTGACAACAGCAGTTTTTGTTAAAAATGTGGCACATTGAGAATCACCGCTGTTCAGGTCACAGGCGTCACCCGTCCTGGCTCACTGAGTGTCTCCCGAACACCCGGTCACCAGCCCGTAAGAAGCCTGTCCCAGGGAGACGAGAAGGAACCGGAGGTTGGACTCTTCCCGCTTGGATAAACCGTTCTCACCAGAAAACCCTTCCTTATGCTGAAATAGTTCAGTCATATGGAAAGGTACGGAGAGTAATGCTGCAAACAGCCATGAATACTTTACCCGAATTAAAAAACTAACCCGGCAGGGAGTCAGTGAGTTTTTCTCGGTAGATAAATAGAGCCTGACAAACGCTGAGTCTCGCGGCTGCAGCAGCTGTGTGGGGTTTGCTGCGTCTGAGCCCTGCTGCACTCTGTTCCCGTTGTCAGTCTGTCACCCGCGTTCATCCGCATCTGACAAGCGTCACGGAGCTGAGCTGGAAGGCTCTCGGTTTGGGGAAGGAGGCCGCCTTAGGGGAGAGCCAAGATGTTTCAATCAGCTGTCTCCTCCGAAGGCGCCTCTTAGAGCGGGCAAAAATAGTCTCGGTTCTCAGTCCTGTAGAACCAGCCTTCTCAGAACTCAGGATGTTAATTCTGGGAAAGTGGCGATGTTCAAGTGGGCAAGAAGGAATAGAGGGAAAAGAAGCTAATATGGAGATTATGCTGACCCTGAACGAAGAGCCCAGGCATGTTTTCCACTAAGCGGATCTTCCTGGCTTTAGGGTCATGTCGCTACTGGTTTAGTTAAACCAGGTGAGTCAGAAAAATATGCACGAGAGGCTTCTTCATTCTGCTTCTCTTTCTAGTTACTTTTGAGCAAGCCAGCTTTGAAAAGGTTGATGTGCGGAAGAAGGATGGGAGCTTTATGTTTGCAGAGGTGTGGAAAGTAGAAAGGGTGTTCCCGGTGGAGGGAGAGCAAGGCCCCAAGGCAGCGCCCAGCTCTGTCCTGGTGGCTGCAGCATAGGTGGCACAGGACCTAGCACAAGGGTAAAGCAGGGCGGGCGTGAGATGTGGCCAGAGAGGGTGGCAGAGGGCTGGGGTCACCGAGGGCCACGCTGAGGAGCAGGGTTTTATTCTTTAGGGCAATACCTCCTAAAGCTGTTTATGTCGTGGTGCGTTTAGAAAACAGCATCTGTCTGGGTACTGGAGTAAATAGGCAGGGCTGCTTACAGCTAGACTCACATATGGGGACATCTTAGGTCCTGTCCCACTGCCTCAGAAGTGGTTCCCTGTCACCCGTTCCCCATGCAGCTACCTTTGGGCTGAGGCACCAGGTGGGAAGGTCTGCTCTGGGGCAGCTCCGGCGTTGGGTGGGGGGTGTTAAGCAGTGGAGCGGAATGACCAGACCTTGAATCAGAAAGATCAGTGGCAGCAGATGGCGGTGGGGTTTTCAGTGAAAAGAGTGAGTGGGAAGCCCCTGAGATCATCTAGGTGAGGTGGGAAGCCCCTGAGATAGTCCAGGTGAGGTGGGAAACCCCTGAGATCGTCCAGGTGAGGTGGGAAGCCCCTGAGATACTCCAGGTGAGATATGACGCACCCAAGACTAGGGGTAGGAGGTGGAAACGGGAGAACACAGACTACATGGAGGGTAGGCAAGCTTCTGGCTCCAGTGAGCAGGGGTGGCATGGCAGCCCCCACATAAGGAGCACTGGTGGGGGCACAGATTTCCATCGTCTCCATTGTCAATCAAAACGTGTTCTGCCAGGCTATGTTTGGTTCACTCAACAGACATCCCAGACATGAGGATTAAGAAATGGTCCTTCCTAAGACAATCACAGTCCAGGATGAATGACACATGGCAAACCAAAGGGACACCAGCTGGCCATGGGACCCTCAGGAAGCCCAGTTTGAGGTTTCTGTTTGGGTGGGTGTCGAGGAGGCTCCCCAGAGAAAGTGACTAGTGGGATGAGTCTTAGTAGACTACAGAGGCTTTATCTGTGCAAAGGTGTGGGGTGTGCCTGCGTGTGTGTGTGTGCGTGTGTGCCTGTGTGTGTGCCTGTGTGTGTGTGCATGCGTGTGTGTGCCTGCGTGTGTGTGTGCATGCATGTGTGTGTGTGTGCGCCTGCGTGTGTGTGTGCCTGCGTGTGTGTGTGCATGCGTGTGTGTGCCTGCGTGTGTGTGTGCATGCGTGTGTGTGCCTGCATGCATGTGTGTGTGTGCCTGCATGCATGTGTGTGTGTGTGCCTGCGTGTGTGCGCGCGTGTGTGTGTGCATGCATGTGTGTGTGTGTGCATGCATGTGTGTGTGTGTGCCTGCATGCATGTGTGTGTGTGCATGCATGTGTGTGTGTGCCTGCGTGTGTGTGCCTGCGTGTGTGTGCCTGCGTGTGTGTGTGCGTGCGTGTGTGTGCCTGTGTGTGTGCATGCGTGTGTGTGCGTGTGTGTGCGTGTGTGCATGCGTGTGTGTGCCTGCATGCATGTGTGTGTGTGTGCATGCATGTGTGTGTGTGCCTGCATGCATGTGTGTGTGTGTGCATGCATGTGTGTGTGTCTGCGTGTGTGTGTGCCTGCGTGTGTGTGTGTGCCTGCGTGTGTGTGTGTGTATGTGTGTGTGTGTGTCTTGGTGGGGATGGAGCAGTCTGGGTGTTTAAGGCACAGGTAATGACAAGAATAGGAGAGGGGCAAGCGGGCAGCGTGGCTTTGCAGGGAACTTTGGGTACTGCAGGGCGTAATGGATTCTCAGAACGCGGTTGAGCTGTGACGATGCACCTCGCACGCCCTGAGCGGGCTCTGCGAGCTGCCCTTGGTTTCCAATGGGACAAGCAGAGTGGGGCTTTGAGGCGTTTCGCTATACGCCTCCTCTCCCTCTGCACCAGGGTCTGTTCGCGTTTCCTCGATCTGTTGTCTGAGCATCTGGAGAGGAAGAGGGAGGGGATTCTCATGAGAGTTCTCTCTGACCTCCGAGGGCCACTGCACAGGAAGGAGGCCCCGCTCAGACCCTCCGGGCATGGGTTGCTTCAACAGAACCGGTCAAGTAGACGCGTTTCAAGCTTGCTTCTGTTGACTTGCTCACCTGTGGGGTGATGGATGAAGGAAGCTTAGGTCCAGACAGCTGGTCCTGCTAGTGTCACCAGCCTGGCCACACCTCCAGGTAAAGGCCTGGAAACAGCACTCACCCAGAGTTGTGCTGGAACAATTCTGTCATGTTCTGGTCACTTCATGTCATAGCCTGGCTCAGGCCTTAAGAACTGCCATAAGCTGCTTCTCCGCTTTCTCCAGAGGGAACTTGGCTTATTGAGTAATTCCCTGAGGGCTTCATTCAGAAGTGAAATCTGGGGCTTTAGGAGATGTTTGTGGTGATGAAAAAGTTTCACTCTGGCACCAAGA